AGTTGTCCCTCCGGAAAGCAGATAAAGGTGGGGAGGGAAAGATGTCTTTGGTGGTGGGGTCGGATTGCAGATGGCGGAAGTGTCGGAGGATGATGCGTTGGATCCGGAGGTTGGTGGGGTGGTACGTGAGGACGAGGGGGATTCTTTTTTGGTTTTTATTGCGTGGACGGGGTGTGAGGGATGAGGTGCGGGAGATGTGGGAGACACGGTTGAGGGCGTTCTCGACCACCGAGGAGGGGAAGTTACGGTCCTTGAAAAACGAGGACAACTGAGATGTACGGGAGTGGAATGCCTCATCCTGGGAGCAGATGCGGCGGAGGCGAAGGAATTGGGAATAGGGGATAGCATTTTTGCAGGAAGGTGGGTGGGAGGAGGAGTATTCTAGGTAGCTGTGGGAGTCGGTGGGCTTGAAATGAATATCGGTTTCGAGGTGGTTGCCCGATATGGAGACAGAGAGGTCCAGGAAGGGGAGAGAGGTGTTAGAGATGGTCCAGGTAAACTTAAGGTTGGGGTGGAAGGTGTTAGTGAAGTGTATGAACTGTTCGAGCTCCTCGTGGGAGCACGAGGCGGCTTTCACAAGTTTCAAAATCTCCCCTCCCCCCACCGCATCCCAAAACCAGTCCAGCTCGTCCCTGCCTCCCTAACCTGTTCTTCCTCCCACCTATCCCCTCCCCCCACCTCAAGCCGCACCTCCATCTCCTACCGACCAACCTCATCCCGCCCCCTTGACCTGTCCGTCCTCCCTGGACTGACCTATCCTCTTCCTAACTCCCTACCTACACTCACCTTTCCTGGCTCCATCCCCGCCCCTTCGACCTGTTTGTTTCCTCTCCACCTATCCTCTCCTCTATCCATCTTCTATCCGCCTCCCACTCTCTCCCTATTTATTTCAAAACCCCCTTCCCCTCCCCCTTTTCTGATGAAGGGTCTAGGCCTGAAACGTCAGCCTCTCTGCTCCTATGATGCTGCTTGGCCTGCTGTGTTCATCCAGCCCTGCACCTGATTACAGCATTGAATCAGTGAGACGGTATCATTATTTGTATTTCAGCAACAGCTTTTTTGTAAATCTGTCTGAATGGACTAAATATTTGCCAAGTCATGTTGACTCAGAAACTCATTTAAAAATGGCAGACAGGTCCTGATTCCAAGACTCCCACACCCTTCCTTGGATTTTCACAAAGGGATTTGGTTAAAGCCACATCTGGTACTCCTGACCTGGCCAGTTCCATTGCACGTTGCATGATTTACTGTTCTGCTATTTTCATGGATTTGGGCCAGCTTTTTAAGGGGTCATGGTTCATGACACATCAGAGATGTTGTGAGCCATAGGTTGCATAAGGAAACCTTTAGAAAGATACGTTCTGAAGGCCTTCCTGATATGTCCCCATGCCAAGTTAAACCTCCAAATGTCCTCCATATCCCTAATTCCCCCATGCCATATTATGTCCCTCGTGCCCCTCCCATGCTAAGCTATGCCCCCAAATAACCCATGACCACTCACACCCATCTCCCAATGCCAAGCTTTATCTGTCAAACAACCCCATAGCTTCCAATGTCCACATGCAAAGGTATGCCCTAAATCCCTCCTCTCAGCCAAGAATACATAACAAAGCTTGGCTTAGAGCTCAGACAATCATTAGAGTGTTGAAGCTTGCTGATCTCTATCAATTTCACAAAGTCTGTTTGTTAAGGTTAAGTAGTGCCTTGTGATTTCAGGGATTGAAACATTGAAAGTTCTGAATGATGAGCTCTTCTAATGCCCAGAAATATAAACAAGTTCAAAAACAAAGTTGCTGGAAAAGCTCAGCAGGTTTGGCAGCATCTGTGAAGGAAAAAACAGAGTTAACGTTTCAAGTCCGGTGACCCTTCCTCAGAACTGGATTACAAAGGGCCATAAGGAATGGGAGGAAGGGCATACCTTGGTATGGAGGATATGAAGGGTCGAGGGATATGTTTTGGGGCACTAATTGGCATGGGGTATGGCGAATGTGTTAGTGGTTAAGGTTAAAGGCTACAGGCCTTTCTTTTTTTTTATTACAGCTGGCACAAAGTCCTACTGCTCTAAGGTGGGCCTCTTTAAAAACCCACCTCAGCATTAGGCAGCCTCTGCAAGAATTAAAACTATTTTACAACTGTCAGCTGCCTGGACTTCAGCCGGAACCCAGAACCGTCAAAGAATATCATGCCTCTGGGGCCAGTATTTCCCAAATCCCTCTGCCTGCCTCAAGAATGATGTTTTGGACCAGCTTATGGATGACATTGGCATGGCAACTTGTATTGCTGATCCTGGTTTGCTCCAAGTGCATTATGAATAAGTTGTACACTGTGGTCCCATTTAGGCTAGATTTGGGATGGGAGGGGAAGGGTGGAGAGTGCTAACACTCCATGGATTTAGTTGTTTAAGAAAGTAGCTTGCTATGACCTTCTCAAGGGCAACTGGAGATGGGCAACAAATACTGGCCCAGCCAGCAATGCTCACTCCCATGAAATAATTAAAAATAAAGGTGTGGCTGTGACAACACTGGTTTAGCTGCATGCACAAATTTAAATAGAAAATACTATCAACACAGAGCAGGCAAATGTCCTTTACATCTATAGTTACTAAGCAACCATCTATCACTACTCAGTAACCAAGGAAGTATAGCATTCACTAAGGTCAAAAAAAATACTTGCATGCTCTGCTTTTCACCTTAACATTTCACAAACAAAGCCGCAAAAAGGTTCCAAACACATGCATAACTCATATATGTCTTTATTCTCCTGGCTCTCCCTCCATTCTTTTCTAAATAATGGAATGACATCTGTAATTTTCCAATCCAAAGACATATCTCCTGAATTGGAAACACAATTGACCACCGTGGTTAGTGCCTGAAATGTTGATCAACGCTGTACTGGTCAAAAATTACCTGATTTATTTTTAAAAATTCAGTTGTACAACTGGATGTGGGAAGTGAACTTTGAGGTCCGGTCTAGTGCCGCAAAGCATATACGTATCTCTTATAAATATAAGCAGTTAGTGCAATTGTTAAAGGCACTATAGCAAATGTCAATTCTTCTGTCGCGCAATCTTTGAAAATGCCCAATTTCCCAACAACACTTGGAACAGGGTTTTCCAAGCTGTGGATCAAACTCTGAAAGCAGCATTGGCTGCTGTGGAGCTCTGACTCAGCAACAGTAGTATTGTGGCCCTTTTAACTTATGGAATTCTTGTCAATAGTGGACATAAGCTAATTGGATGACCTTTGAGGCATGATTCCTGTCCTAGAAAATGCAGTGAAGTGCTAGATACTTCTCACTTATTAAAAAAAGAACCTACAGTTTAAACAACCTCCCTCTTTCAAGCATTATATTGGGATCACAATGGGAAAATATTTGGGAAGCACTGACTTGGCGATTTATCCAAAATGAATGTCTTTTTCCTTCTTCCCGCTTGCACGCTGAAGTCCATTCATGGTGTTTGGTGAATTATGAATTTGTGTACAATGAAAGTGACATAATCTGTCACAGCTCTAACAGTCATATAGCATGCATAGACATACACAAGGAACGTGAAGCAAAACACCAGACGACACCCTTTACCTGTGAAACTGAATAACTAGATCAGGGAGGAGATAGAAATATAGGATAAAGCAAAAATGAGTTTGGTATACTCTCAACAGAGTTTGTGACCTAATCAGTCTAATATTATATTTAAGCCTAATGCTTACTCAGGGCATTAGCACCAGCTACGCAAATGGAAAAGGTTCTGCAGATAGTAGATAGCAGTCAGGAATCCAAACGCCTCTCCCTTCCCAGTGCATTAATACAGTGTGCAGTGTTAAAGAGACCAAGTCATAGAACCGAGATGAATTGAGCTAATTGACTCTTTTAGTGACTGAAGTCTTGCCAAAGGGGGAGAAAAGGTAGGTTTTTGTGGTATTGTGGGATCCTAGATGCCTTCTGTTCTTTTTGTGTTTGACCCTGTTTTGTATAAGTGCTATTCTTATTACTGCCAAATTCAATTAGTGTCTTTTCAGGATCACTGCAAAGTCATGTTGTCTTGGTTACCGGCATGGTATTGTTCATATTTCCATCTTATTTATTATTGTAACTCTTGCACATCCTTAAAGTCCTAGAGAAAACTGTTCGGAATCCAATGATTAATATTGGAATTTCTACTTTTTCTCATTTGAGGAAAGCTGAAAGAAAACTTAGAAGTCAAGTTCATTTTAGCACATGTGAATTACATTTAAGGTGGACATGCATAGACACTGGTATGAGCTGATTAACTAGACAAATAATTACAATGATACGGTGCATTTCAACACGACATTGTTGTGAAACAAACACGTGAAAAAAATGAAAAATGTTTTCATGACTAAAGGTTCCTCTAAACTTCAAAATGAGTGGCTGTCCATTTCTTAAAGTTTGCATTCAAAGTCACATGCTTCCAAGAATCCTTTAGTAATTTGTTAAAGGGACAGGGGAAACTGTAACAAAATTGTAGTAGTTAGATATTGAGGACTGCCACAACCCAACTGGCAAGTGTTTCCATTTTATAGATTTAGAATAGTGCAGCACTGAATTTTAAAAACAGAATGCACTGGAGAAGTCCAATGGGTCTGATAACATTTGTGGAGAGAGAACCAAAACCAATTGGACTCAAAACATTAACTCAATATCTCTCTCCATAGGTGCTGCCAGACCTGCTGAGTTTCTCCAACATTTTCTGTGTTTATTTCAGATTTCCAGCATCCACAATTCTTTGTTTTATTTACGTTCTTTTTCGACATCTAATATTTAATTTCTCCCTTACTTGTTTTCCCTTGTTCTCTCTCTCTCTTTCTCTCTGTCTCACTCTCTGTCTCTCCATATATATCAACTCCTTCTGTGTTTTCTTACTCCAAATGTTTTAAGCATTAAAGAATTCATGTCATTTGTAGGGAGGCCAGGCACACAATGTTCAAAGGAAGTGGAGCAACAATTTAAGATTCGATTCCTTTTGTCTTTACTTGGTTTAGAAAGATTTTACAGTGAGGGATGAACTGCAACAAACGGATGTAGAGCACTGGCTTGGGTTTATCACGTTTCTCTGCGAAGTTTTTGGAATAATGCGAAGCAACACAGGAGAGCCTTTCCGTGTGCTTGTCTGCCCTATCTACACATGTCTACGGGAGGTAAGTGAAATGACAGATTCATAACCTGTGATCACGAAATTAATACAATAGTTCGCTGTGCCGGACGGTTTTTTTTCACTTCAGTCTGTCTTATACTTTGACCTGAGTCAATCTTTTATGGAGTTCTGTTCTTCTCCATAGAGAACTTGATAAGAAGTCTAGATTGGAAAATTTGTTAAAATGATAGGTCTGGTGTTAAACTGAGCCATAGAGATCAGTCAAGTAAAGAATTTTCAGGTTGGCAACCTATAACTACTGCTCGACTCTCAAATATTTAATCTATATTATTGACTTGGATGAAAGGTCTGAATGCTTTGTGGCTAAATTTGCTGATGGTACTAGGATGGGTAAAAGTCAGCTGTCAGGAGGATATAAAGAGATTGCAAAGTAAAATGGATAGATTAAGCAAGTAGCAACAAATATGACAGATGGAGTATAATGTGGGAAAATGTGAAGTTGTCCACTTTGGCAGGCTGAAGAGTAAAATAGAATAATATCAAAATGGAGAGACTGCAGCATGCATTGTCCTTGTCCATGAATCACAGAAAGTTAACATGTCTCCTTGAAAACCACCCATGTCACCCAGCCCGTGAGACAGACAGCTGCTCTGCAGTACCCTACAGGAAAGCCCTTAGAGTCATACAGCATAGAAACAGACCCTTTGGTCCAACCAGTCCATGCTGGACATAATCTCAAACTAAACTAATCCCACCTGCTTGCCCCTGGCCCATATCCCTCCAAACCATTCCTATTCAGGTACTTATCCAAATGTCTTTTAAACAGTGTAATTCATAGAATCCCTACAGCCCAACAAGTCCACACCAACCCTCAGAACATCCTACCAAGACCCATCCCCCTATAACCCACCTCATCTACACATCCCTGAACAGTATGGGCAATTTCACATGACCAATCCACCTAGCGTGCACATATTTGGACTGTGGAAGGAAACCGAAGGAAACCCACACAGACACGGGGAGAATGTGCAAACTCCACACAGACAGTCGTCCAAGGCTGGAATCGAACCCAGGTCCCTGGTGCTGTGAGGTAGCAGTGCTAACCACTGAGCCACCATGCCGCCTTGTCACCTGATCCATCACTTCATCAGGAAGTTCATTCCATGCTCTGTGGAAAAAATTTGCCTCTTATGACTTTTTTAAATCTCTCTCCTCTCACCTTAAAAATATGCCCCCTGGTCTTGGAATACCCATCTGAGGGAAAAGACAACTACCATCAACTCTATCTATACCTATCATTATTTTATAAACTTCTATCAGGGTCACCTCTCAACCTCCTACACTCCAGTGAAAAAAGTCCCAGCCTATCCAGCCTTTCTTTATAACTCAAACCTTCCATACCCGGCAACATCCTTGTGCATCTCTTCTGAACCCTCTCCAGCTTCAAAGTACAAATTAGGAGCAGGAATAAGTCACTCAGGCCATTGAGCCTTCACTGCCTTGAAGAAGGTACAGTAATAATTAGGAAGGCAAAAAGAATGTTGGGAGGGCAAATGATTAGGCAAGTTGGCCCCGGAGAGATACTTGACCCTTCATACCACCTCAGCAACTAAATCACCCTGAAGATGCCACATCGTGCAAGTCACTGAGTTCAAGGGAAATTAGGGATGGGGAGCAAACACTGGCTTCATATGAAATTCTTAAGTGGGAGGCTGAGCAGCCAGAGTGCACATCATATGAAAAAATAACAAAAGAAATTCACAGAACTTGCCAGGGTGATTGCAGAGAGGATGTTTCTCCTGGTGAGGAAATCTAGAACTAGGTGAAATGTTTTAAAGATAAGGGATCTCTCACAAAAGCTGGAGATGAGGAAGAATTTCTTCTTTCAGGAGGTCTTATTGCCTTTGTAGTTCTCTTCCTCAGCTACTACCTTCCTTAGCTCTCCCACCCGAAGTCTGCAGAGTGCATGTTGGCAAGTTAATCATATTTTCAACCTTATTTTCAATAAAACTGTGGCTGATCTAATCAGACAATAGTAAAGGTTAGATCATTAAGTTAGATTTTTGTCCACAAGGGAGTTAAGGGTCACAGGAATGTACAGGAAAGTGAAGTTAAGGCTGTAATTAGATAAGTCACAGTCTTTTGAATAGTGTAATAGGCTAGATGGGCCGAATGCCCCACTATTTTGTATGATTAACCTGCAAATACACACTCTCCAGGCTTCAGTTTGGTGAGCCCCTGGAAGGCAGCTACTATTCCAATCATGATCTGTGCCATGAGGATGGAAAGGAAGAGGATTAGGAGAAGAAAAAGAAAGTTAAAGGGGAACAAAAGTTCCTTTTTATGTACTCTGCACATAAAGTTATTTGTATTCTGGGAAATTCTTTTAAAACTTATTTGGAGACCCATCAGTATTTCTGTTGCATCACTGATGGCTTAGCACTACGTATATCTCAAAACAATCCATTTATTTGCATTGGCCTGAGTATTGAACCAGAACTACCCAACACAGAAAAACCACACAGCTACTAGTGTACCCAGTAGCTGAAAGTGTGCATACAGAGAACTACACTGTATGGAGTGTATAATCAGATGTGGCAGAGTTCATTGCTTAGTTGGTATTTATCCGTCTATTATATAGAAATCATAAAATGTTGCACCAGCTCCTTAGTCATGCATTCATATCTCCTGCCTTTCTATTCCTTGCCTCACTAGCATGTGGCACTGGTAGTAACCCAGAGATTACTACCCACGAGGTCCTGCTTTTCAGCCTCTTTCCTAACTCCCTGTACTCACTCTGCAGGGCTTCATCCCTCTTTCTACTTATGTCGTTGGTACCAATGTGCACCACGACCTCTGGCTGCTCAGCCTCCCACTTAAGGATTTCATGCAACTGCTCAGAGAAGGGAAGGAAAGGAACACGTTATCCAGGAGTCTCAGACATGGCCACAAACGATTGTCCATGTCCCTAACAAGCGAGTCTCTGACCACTATCGCTCACTTAGATCTTGCCCAACCCTGCTCCACAGCAGAGCCAGTTGTGGTGCCACAGGCCTGGCTGCTGCCTTTATACTCCCCTGAAAGGCTATCCCCCCAACAGTATCCAAAATAGTATACCTGTTAGAGAGGGAAACAGCCACAGGAGACTCCTGCACTATCTGCCTGTCTCTCCTGGCGGCCACCCATCTGCCTGACTGAACCTGTGGTGTGACCACCTTCCTGTAACTAGTGCCTATGACACACTCTGCCCCCTGTATGCTCCTCAATGGATCCAACTGCTGCTGCAACTGAACAACACGGTCTGTGAGGAGCTGCAGCTGGTCACACTTCCTGCAGACATAGTCTTCAGGGACAATAGACTGCTCCCCGAGCTCCCACATCTGACAGGAGGGGCACACCATTGCCCTAACTGCCAACTCTGTCCCTTTACACTCAGAAAGATAAAAGAATCTTACCTTGCCTGCCTTACTCAGTGAAGCCCAGTATTCACCCAAAGCCTGCACTTCCACCAACTAGCTGCACTGATTGGCTCCTTAAATTACAACGCAATATTTACAAGCAGATCAAATACCGTCTAGGCTGCGACAAACTTCCCGACAGTCTTTCGTGTCTCTTTTTTCTGGTTAAAGGAGGAAGAAAGAATGGAAACACTACAGTCATGTAAAGTTTAGGGCTTACCGTTCCTTGACACGGAGTTCTTCCTCACTCCGCTGATCAGTCGTGGTGACTACATTGACTTCTCCGAGAATTTTTTTTTATTGCAAATATATACTTTATTCATAGAAGGAAATTTTTATTTACATACACAGTTAATGAAGCCATTCAGATCTATGCTCTCTTTACTGAGAGAATAAAATAAACATTGGCATTCGCCTTTCTCTATATTTAAAATTAACTTCTTGGCTTTTAGCTGAGGCATCAGCAGGGTCTGGTTACTGAATGGACCCCCATTATGCTTTGGCAGAAAGACCTTTCATGGTGGTCTTTCCCCACTGCGCCTTGGTGGCAGCTGCCCTGAGCTTTATTGCGTCCCTTAGCACGTAGTCCTGGATCTTGGGATGTGCCAGCTTGCAATGCTCAGCCGGGGCCAACTCTTTCAACGGAAGACCAGCAAGTTTCGGGTGAACCAAAAAGCATCTTTCACTGCATTGATGGTGCTGCAGGCACTGCTGATGTTTGTCTCAGTGTGCCACCCAGGGAACAGACCATACAGCACAGAGGCCTGCATCATGGAGCTACTCAGGACAAACCTTGACAAAAACCACTGCATTTCTCTCCAGTCCACCTTTGCATGGGCACATCCCAGAAGGAGATGTGTGACAGTCTCATTCCCATCCGCAGCTGCTTCAAGGGTAGCTTGTGGTGGCGCAGAGTGTCCGGGCGTACATGAAAGATCCTTCAGGCAGTGCCCTTCTTACCACCAGCCAAGCAATGTCCTGGTGCTTATTGGAAAGCTCTGGTGATGAGGCATTCTGCCAAATGACTTTGACAGCCTGCACAGGGAATCACTTGACAACATCCACCCTCTCCCTTTTCCAAAGGATCTTGAGGGAGAGGCTGAATAGACTGAGGCTATTTTCCCTGGAGCATCAGAGGCCGAGGGATGACCTTGTAGAGGTTTATGAAATCATGAGGGGCATGGATAAGGTGAATAGCCAAGGTCTTTTCCCTAGGGTGGGGGAGTCCAAAACTAGAGGGTGTAAGTTTAAGGTGAGAGGAGAAAGATTTGAAAGCTACCGAAGGGGCAACTTTTTCATGCAGAAGATGGTGAGTGTATGGAATGAGTTGCCAGAGGAAGTGGTGGAGGCTGGTACAATAACAACATTTAAAAGGCATCTGGATGGCTTTATGAATAGGAAGAGTTTAGAGGGATGTTGGCCAAATGCTGGCAGATGGGACTAGATTAATTTAGGATGTCTTGCTGGCATGGATGAGTTGGACTGAAAGGCCTGTTTCCATATGGTACAGCCGTATGACCCTATAACTGAAGGAGGCCATTCATTCCCATTGTAGCTGTACTGACTCTTTGGTAGATCTGTTGAA